AAAGACCAAAAAAAAAAAAAAAAAAAAAAAAAAAACATTGGAAGAAATCCTCTTTAGCAAATGGTTCTGGGAAAACTGGTTATCCACATCCACAAGATTAAATCTCAACCCATATGTCTCACCATGTACTAAACTAAAATCAAAATGGATCAAAGATCTAAATAGGAAAAGAGAGACATCTAAGCTAGACATGATAGTACATGCCTATAATCCAAGCACTCGGTAGGCTGAAGCAAGAGGACTGCCAGGAATTCGAGACTAGCCTGAGCTATAAGTGAGTTCAAGCCCAGTCTTAGCCACAGAGCAAGACTCTGTCTTTAAAAAAAAAAAAAAAAAAAAAGAGAGAGAGAGAGAAGAAAAAGAAAAAACCCACAGAAACACTATCTGTTGGAAAATACAATAGGTAAAACTCCTAAAGACATAGGCATAGACAAGGACTTCTGAACAGAATCCCAACTGCACAAGAAATAACATCAAGAATTAACAAATGTGGCCAGCCAAATTAGCTCAGAGGATTAAAACGCATGCAAGTAAGTGCAAGGGCCAGGATTCGATCCCCGGGGGTATGCTGAGACAGCGATTGAGACTGGGCATGGTGGCGTGCGCCTGTAATCCCAGCTCTTGTGAGGCTGTAAACAGGCAGATCACTAAGAATCCAATCTAGTAGTGAGACCCTGAACACCCTGTGGATCCTTCCCTAAAACACACACACACACACACACACACACACACACACACACACACAGAATTAACAAATGTGATATCAAATTAAAAAGCTTCTGCATAGCAAAGAAAATAACCAATAGAGTGAAGAGACCAGATATTGCTGAGAAATTTTTCTCAGCTATATCTTCGACAAGGAACCAATATCTAAACTATATCAAATAAAACTCAAAGAAATTATACCCCTGCCCAAAACAAAAGACATAATCAAAATGGGCAACTGAAATAAACAGATACTTCTGAGAAGAAGTACAATTAGCCAATAAATACATGAAAAAATATTCAACATGACTGGCCATTAGAGAATGCAAATTAAAAATTAAATTAAATTAAATTAAATTAAATTAAATTAAAACAACAGCAAGCTTCCATCTTACTTCAGAATGAATGGCTATCATCAGGAAGTCAAATAATAACAAATATTGGACAGGGTATGTGTGAAAGGAAACTCTTCGATATTGTTGGTAAGAATGTAAACTAGTACAACCATTATGGAAATCATTATGGAGATTCTTCAAAAAACTAAAACTAGAAATTCCATTTGACATAGGTATTCCCTTCTGGGTATCTTCTTGAAAAAGTGAAACACATCCTATTACAGTGTTACATGCATGCCCATGTTTATAGCAGCAGCACACTTCACAATAGCTAAGTTGTGGAAGCTGCCTGTATGTGCATCAATAGCCCAAGGAAGAAAACGTGCTATTTATACACATAGAATACTACTCTGCCATAAGGAAGTTAAATTTGAGTCCTCTGGAGGCAAACAGTTGTATCTTTAAGTGACATAAATTAGACTGGGGAGATGGCTCAGTGGAATAAGCACTTCCCTGGCAAGTGCAAGGGCCTGAGTTCAATCCCCGGTTCCACCAAAAAAAAAAAAAAAAAAAAAGTGACATAAATCAGACACCTAGTTAAATATTCATGGTTTTGCTTATAGGAGAAGCCCAAAATATAAGTAAAAAGTAAAACAAAAGATAAGTAATAAGAAATAGGAATATGGATCTTTTGCAAATAAGAAAGGGGTAAAGAAATGGAGGGAGACCAGGCATGGTAGCACATACCTGTAATCCCAGTACCTGGGAGGCTGAGGCAGGAAGATCACTATAAGCTCGAGGTCAGCCTGGGCTATAAAGTGAACTCAAGGCCAGCCTGAACTCCATAGTGAAACCCTGTCTCAAAAAGACAGAAAAAAAAAAGAAGAAAAGGAATGGAGGGAGTTGGAAGGGGTTTAGGGGATAACAAAAAAAGAATTAAGACGTATTATGTAAATGTACCAACTCCCTACAAACAATGTGACCATTGTGTGCTCCAAACTTGTACTAATAAAAAAAACCTGAAACTAAAATAAAGCAAATTATATTGCTAAAAAAATTGATCAAAGAGGTAATCATTTTAATTCCACTCATAAAATCAATCCCTTAAACATCAAGGGGCATGAAGTGAGCTAATATTCACTTAGCTTTTCTATTTTGAGAACTCAGTGATGTGCTTATATTTAATCTTTCAAACAAACCACTACAGCAGTGCCTTGTTAGCTCCATTTACAGAAGAGGAAATGGAAGCATATGGGACGTTACAAAAACTCAAGTTACTGTAAGAAAAATGTCACAAATATTATTGATATCCAACAGACGGAAATTACGAGACATGAAGACAGGCTTTAAGACATATCACATAGCTAATTCAAAATGAAGACAAAAATAAAGACTGGTACCTAGATCTACCAACTGTCTTAGTCAGTCATATCTTTCTTTCTTTTTTTTTTTTTTTTTTTTTTTTTTTTTTGGCAGAACTGGGGATTGAACTCGGGCCCTTGCACTTGCCAGGGAAGTGCTTATTCTACTGAACCATCTCCCTGCCCCAGTTATATCCTTCTAATCTAGAGGTCCAACCTTTAAACCACATCTCTCAAATTCACAGATGGGAATATCCAAAGAGATAGGTTAAGTGCCAGTTTAATATGGTACCTTTTCCAGGGTTATTAATTTCACAATATTCATAAACATGAACACAAATACAAACTGGTTTGAAAAGACACAAAACTTCTATGAAAATTTGTATGAAAATGCATTTTTCAGAATTTGAGGATTGAGCCACAGGCATACATTCATGCTCCAAAAAGAAGTACTTTAATAGAGAAGTTTCAGATGCATTGTCTGTAAGTCTTGTTATCAGCACTCCACCTCAGGATGGGGGCAGAATGGAAACTCCCAGAATATTAACTTCGGACACAATCATCAAGAAGCATTTGTTTGAATTCCATTAACTCTGGCTTGGCATGTGACAGGACTTTTAAGACACAGAAAAGACAGTGAGGAAGTTTGGGGCACAGGCCAAACTATTAGAAGAAAAGAAAGACAAATTTTGGCTGCTGTGAGCAAAAGGCTGACTGAATAGCTATAGCCATCAGCGAATGTCTGTGCCTGTCTTTAGCCCCTTCCCATTAACTGCATTTGCACTGATCTTCTCTGTGTGCCAAATTTGTCAAATCTGTAAGTTTCTACCACAGATCACAGATACTGCTTTCCCACAATAGAAACGGAAACAGTTAGTTGAACAAGTAAAAGTTGAATCAACTGTCAGCAATGATTTTTCCCACTTCTGAAAGCTAAGCATCGTTTTTCAATGATTATAACGTACCATTTTTCACATTTTAATGTCTTTAAAACAGAGATATATCTCAGAATCAATGTTGTGTCTCAGTGGCAGAACATAGATTAATGGCACATTCTCAAATCAGTGCAATTTAAATTTGATCAAACAATATCTGAAAACAATGGCCTAGATATTTACAGGGCTTCAAGATGCAGCACTATGGGCAGAGAGGCATGTTAACATTGTGCTTTCAAGGTTTCCGATTTTGCCAAATCTGGGCCACAGGCAAAGCCATTTCAGAGAACAGGTTATCAGGTAAGGATCTAGTGCAGGCATGCAGAAGGCTCCCCCATGAGGCCCTCCAATACTGAGTGTGTCAGTCCTCAGTGAAACTGCTGTCATAATTCTCAGCTTTCGTAGGACCCACTGTTGACCCAGATTATTTTCACAGCAAACAAAAATATTTTCTTGATATATTACAGAAATACATAAAAAAATCACAGGAAAGCAAAAATCACAAAAGATCAGCAGTGTAAGTAAGAAAATCTCTACAAATAGCAACACAGAAAATTTATGAGGTTGAATCACTTATTCAGTAGGACTTGTTTCTACAAAAGTGAGCCATCCAAAATGCTTTCCAATGTGCATACCATTTGTATTCAAACTATATACATCCCAAAGAAACACCCTGGAATTATCTCCCAGGAGACATACACGTATAGCAACAAGAACTTTGAAGAAAGGAAGACCTTTCGCCCAACTTGACTTACTGCTCATCGTGGTGAAGATGCCAACAAGGAAATTAGGAATCTGGGCTTGGTCTTGGCTGTTCTGCAGAAGTCGCAGACCCTCAAAAAACATGCGAGCAGCTTCATAAGGTTGGAGTAACCGCAGTAAGGAATAACCAGCTCGGTAGTACCCCTAGAACAGAGAAAAAAGAGCAAAAATATAATGTCCTCATCTCCTCTAACCTGTCACTGAAAGGAAAGATTGGCAACATGGTGAACACCATTGTGGGAGGGAGCCTCACTCTCTGCCAGCACAGACTGCTAATGAGCACAGGAGACAGGGTTTCTACATTATTTTCCACGCCATACTTTTCCTGTCATATTGTAACTGCCAAGAAAACAGGTACAGTAATCACATTCGAATCTATCAGTTGCACAACATTTAATATGTGACACAAAGAAAAGGAAGTAGACCTTGTTCCAATTATATGTGCGGCCTATTGTTCATTCCTCCCACCACTACCTGAACCAGAACAAAGGCATTATAAAAAATCCTATGACTAGTATTTATGGAAAAATGAGATTTTCTTATAAACATATAAGTGGTTCCCAGTCCTATCAATCAAAATAAACACAATTTCAACTGAGCATATAAGGGAGGAAAAACTGTAGCAAGAAACACTGCTATTTCCCAAAAGAGATAAAAACCATCATATTACAGGGATACATGCATACAGCTGCATGCATTCCAGATCTTGGAAACAGTGTATATGTCCATCCACAGATGAATAGATAAGGCAAATGTGCTACTTATACACAAAGGAGCATTACTCTGCCATAATGAAAGATAAACTTAAGGTATTCACAATTAACTAGTTGCAAATTATGAATATAATGTTAAGTGAAATAAGCCGAACACACAAGCTTAAGCATTGTATGGTTCCTCTTATATCAGAAACTACAAATAAAGAGCAAAATAGAAGACAGATAAAAAGAAAGTACAGAGAAGTTCAAATAATCCCCTAAATTACTTATTCAACTATTTCAAAACTACTTTAATATACAAGCTAATTTTTTCCATTTATATTATTAGTTTCTCTTAGTTCACTGAAAAGAAAATTTTGCGCTATTTTTTGTACAAGAGAATTATTTTTTCTATCATATCCCAAGTAGCTATAAAGCAATGATACAATGTACTGTTGTTATTCTCTTATTTTGTTAACAACTTTTCATTTTTTCATAAAATAAAAAAGAATTATTGAGCTCTACTAAGCTCACATCATAAAAAAAGGTAGAGAGAGAGCCCTCTCCAACTGACTTCTGTACAAAGACTACAATGATTAGTAGGCTAAACAACCAGAAACCAAAAAAGGAAATCAAAAGTCCCCTATTAAGTCTCCTAGAAGTTGCCCTTAGAAACTATTTCCATTCCTTTCAAACCCTTAAAAACTCCTAGGTCTTTAAGAAAACACCTTCTCTCTTCTGGCCCCAGATGAGAAAGGTTTGCTAATAAACCTGTGTGATGGTTGAGTTTGACTTCTTTCTCCAACTCCACTCATGATCAAATCAATTTTCTGGCTAAAGTAGCAAAGTGTTCACAAATTGAGTTCATAAAAAAGGAAGCACATAAAAAATAAAGGAAAAGATTTCTGGGAAGATGGCAAAGTGGTGTACTGCTGAGAAGCAGCCTCTCTGAGATTTGATGTCCAGACACTAAATATAACAAGAGAAGAAGGAAGGGAGTCCCTGGGGCCCAGCAAGGATCTGAAGTAAGAATTGAAGTCCACAGGGACAGTGAAGAGAGATCTCAATGCAGAAGAAAAGGGTGGCAAGTGGCACTATGTCCCTGAGCCCAGACTCACTGAGTTGGAGGGGAAGTTCGAACCTGCAGAGGAATGGTGACTACTGACAACTCCAGAGGCCTCCAGGGAGAAGCACACCAAAGGAATGGAGCAGTGGACACAGTGGCTGGTGAGTTATGTGGGTACAGACATCCCTTAAGACAGAGAGACTGGTTGGAGAAGGGACAAAGCAGCTTGGAACGGAGAGAAGCTGTGGGCTGGCTCCAGGTGGGGGCTCCCAGTGTCAGGGTGAAGCAGAACCAAGTTCAAGTTGGCAGAATGTAAAGGAGCCAAGTTCAACCCAGCTGGAAGCTGAGTTCAAGCCAACAGGAGGCACAGGAAGTGCTGTAGGCTGAACAAGTTGGACTCCAGCCTCACAGCGAGAAAAAAACTAAATTTCAATGGAACTAAAAGTGAGGAGTTTCTGGTATTATCCACTACCCCACCATAAATCTACAGCTGGCTTGCTGAGATTAATCAACATGACTCTGGGTTCTGTGTTCCCATTCTATCTAGCAGTGACAGCAAAAACATGTCCTGAAGTGAATATTTTTTTTTCTTTCTAGAAGAACTTTTCTATTCTTTTTGCTAGATCGCTTGTTCTTGTTTTTATATGAGTGTGAACATTGTTTTTAACTTTTTGGTTATTGTCATTCTGTCCTGTTTTTGTTTTTATTTTTTCCTTCTCCTATCTTCTTCACTAGTTTCCCAAAGTTCGTGCAATCTTCCTTTTGTCCTCCAGCCTTGCTTCTAATCATTTGTTCTTTTATATTTCTCAATTTTCCCCAAAAACTCTTCTAAATTTTCTCCCCAGTGGTAAACTCTCCATACTGAGGGCATATTTACTTTATATAAGTTTCTGGTTTATTTTATTGGCGGAACCAGGGATTGAACTCAGGACCTTGTGCTTGCCGGGAAAGCACTTATTCTACTGAGCCATCTCCCTGGCCCTTCTGGTTTATTTTAGATTTTGTTACCTAACAACAAATATATTCAGAAAGTCAATGGTAGAAAATTAATACTTGCCACAGTTTGATATTTTCTAGGTTGTGTTTGATACTATTGTTATTGCTGACTATACTACTTTAACCAAGGTGACATAATTGTTTTATTCCATCTTTCTGTTATGCCAAGACAGAGACTGCCTAGGGTCATAAACAATGCTACATACTACAGACCAGTGCTAAAGAACCAAGAGCCAGGTCAAATAGGCAGCAACTTCTCATTCCAATAAACTAAAGAGGCATGATCTTACAACAGACTCAAAACCAACCCTAGTAAAAAAAAAAAAAAAAAAAAAAAAAACAACTAAACTAAGACGCAAAAACCAACTGCACCTCAAAGACTTCTCTGAGAAGTAGTCATTTCCTAAGGCTGCTCAATATTAGCAATACAGCTACCTGCCATACCCAATTTACAAGCATAAACCAAGGAATTAAGCTGAAAGCAAATATAAAATAAGAAGGAACGCAAGCAAGATGCAACTTCAGACTTCCAGCTCAACAAAAGTAAACGCAGAGGTCAATGAGGTGGAGAAATTCAAATGTCACCCACCCAAACTCTGCAGCAGAAGTAACACAGGAGATAAATGAAACTCTAGAAAAAAATGAAATCAAAATAAGTTCTCAGATAACTACAGAAATGGTGACCATAATGAAAGACATGGTTAGTGACTCTAGAGGAGACAAAGATAAAAAAGAAAACCAGAGGAGCTTAGGAAAACGATGGAAATCATGAACATCCAACATAAGAATCCATAAGCAGATCGAAGCAGATATTCAGTAGATTAAAAATTCCACTGAAATTATATACAGCAAAAAGCAGCAGTGTGAGGACAGAATATCAGATATAAAAGACAACATTGAGGTTAGTGATTATGAAAGTAAAGATTTCAGAAAAACAGCAAAGGACCATGAAAAATCACACAGCTTCAAGGTGATCCAGAAGGAGAAGGAGGAGGAGGAGGAGGAGGAGGAGGAGGAGGAGGAGGAGGAGGAGGAGGAGGAGGAGGAGGAGGAGGAGGAGGAGAAGATTGATCAGTCAATGAAAAAGCCAGAGATAGCATAAAATACCTCTTCACAGAAGTAATGGCAGAAAACTTTCCAAGCACAGAAAAAGAATTTAACATACAGACAAGTGAGGCATGTCGAACTACAATTAGCCATGATCAAAAAGTCTACGTCAATGCATATCATAGTCAAGATTCAAAAATTTCAACACAGGAACAGAATATTAAAGCTGTTACAGAAAAAAAAAGTCACCTATGAAGGAATGCCCGTCAGAATCAGAGCAGACTTTTTACACAAACGTTCAAATCAAGCAGAGCTTGGAGTGAAATATTTTAAATTCTAAAAGAAAATAACCTCCAACTCAGATTAATGTAACGTTCCAAACTATCTTTAAAAATAGATGGAGAAATAAGATGCTTCCATGACAAAGAACACCTGAATAAATTTATGATAACAAAACTATCACTCTAAATGTTCTGAATGATATTCTAGAAAGTGAAAATGAGTATTACAACACCATATATCCCAACAAAATGAACCACCAACAAGGGAGGGAGAACACAAAAGAAATATGGGAAAAACAGAAGAGAAATGAGGGACTAAAAAGGAGTCAACAACAGGAAATTAACCTGACTAGAATAAGCCACTACACATCAGTTATAGCAATCAACATAAATGGTCTCAATTTACTAATCAAAAGAAACAGAATGGCAGAATGGATCAAGAAGAAGAAGACAAGAACATGCTGCACAAAACAAGCGCATTTAAATCAAAAAAATTCATAGACTAAAAATCCAAGGATGGAGAACAATATTTCTTGCAACAGGAACCCAGAAAAAAGCAGGAATAGCTATTTTATTTGTATACAAAACAAATTCCAAGCCAAAACTAATTAAGAGACAGAAAAGTCCCTACATCCTTATAAAGGAAATAATCCAAAAAGAAGAGATAACAATCATAAATATATATGTACCAAATACCAGCCACACCCAACTATATAAAACAAATATTGACATGAAAAATCAAATAAATCCTAATACATTTGTAACAGATTAAATTAAATTTTTCCTATTAAATGATGATATCAATATAACATTTCAGAACTTACAGGACGCAGGGAAAGCCAACTTATGAAGGAAATTTATAGCAGTAAATTCCCCTATCAGAAAAAGAGTGAGCTCAAATAACTAGTAACATGCCAAAGGTCATATAAGGGAGGCAATTATGAAGATCAGAGCAGATACTAATTCAATGGAGACTAAGAAAACAACGCACAGAATCAATGAATAGAAGTGTTAGTTTTGAGGCTGTTGAGATAGCTCAGCAGACTAAGTGCCTGCTTT